GACTTCCCCTGTCTAGGCTTGGGCAACCTGGCAGTATCCCAGCCCTCGTGCTTCCTTCGGGTAGCATGGCAGCTAGGCACCGGAAGGGTGTTACAGCTGAACGCTTTTTTTTACGTTTGTCGGTTTCCACCCACCTTGCCCGAATGAGCGTCTGGAAGTGTAGGCACCTGGGAATGATTGTAGTAAATCAGTACCAAGTCCCTTACCCTGCAACATTTATTCTTTTCTTCACAATAAGGCTTTCAAATGCATCGTGGTTGTGCGGCAGTGAAGCATCAGTGTTGAACACTGATGTGCTGTCGATGATGAGAATGCAATACTGGCCAATCAGGATAGCGATACGAACTTGCCTTTGTTTTGGAACTCATTCCATTTGTTTGTTTTGCGTACCCATCTAGGAAGATTGTTTGGGAGCATTTTCGTCTCTGGAAAATGGAATAGCGTACATTGTTTGTTTATATAATTATTGATACATGCATCTCATCCAGGTCATCAAGTTATCTGCAGGTGAGGTTGCCCTCTGTAGTACTGAACTGATTCCTGGACACGTTCTTCGGTTATTGTTCTGTCTATCGACTTTATAAAAACATTTATTTGCGCTGTTTACAGTTTCCCTAGCTCTTTGGACTCCGAAATTCTGGAGTCGTATCGTATTCCGCAGCTACGGATATACAACAGTGCACTAATTTGGATGGTTTATTACATCCGTAACTCTCAAGTGTTATTTTGAAGCCCCTAAGATAATTCGACGGACCATTATTTTTTTTTTGTATTTTTGCACCATATCCTCCTCTGACAATTCATAGTTCCTCTTCTCCTGTTCTGTACCTCCATTATTCAGCCCCACTTGACCTTTGGCTCCAGGGCCGGTGTACATAGTCGCGATTGCAAACATCACAGATTCGGTAAAACAATCCCAAACAGATATGTCAACTGAGGAAGTTCCCGCTCGTGTAGCTCCTGAGTTCGTTGTCGGTCTCCTTTGTGGAAGTAGTGGAAGTGCTCCTGGCGCAACAGCCACAATGCCACCACCTCCACCCGGATTCACCGCTCACGATACCTCCAGCTTAGCCTCGTTGAATGATCATTTGTCGATCCTGAACAACGACTCTACCATAACCACTACCACTTCAGCGATGAATTGTGAAGCGATCAGCAACACCTTCCCTTGTCGTTGGTCCGCTGCTATGGTAAGTGCTATCTTTCCGTCTTGGATTCTGTTTTTCATGCTCATAGTCATTTCATGAGACGCGGGCCACTATAAAGGTCATCGTGCGCAGGTACGAAAACGTTCATATTCAGCCGCCTCAAACACAAAATAATAATAATAATCGTTCTGCTGTGGCACCCTTTCGGTGCCTAGCTGTCATGCTACACGAAGGAGGCACGAGGACTGGGATACTGCCAGGTCGCCCAAGCCTAGACATGGGAAATCGACAGGCAGAGGTCGGGTTCAAACCACAGGCCTTCCGGTCAGTAAATCCGGGCTCTAACCACTTGGGCCATCGTTTCGGTGAATACCGCTAGCTGACTAAAGAAAGTTGTCTGCATTTCCGAGATAACCCCATCTCGAGAAAACTCATTTGGATTTTGGCACCGAATAACCTCTATAAATAAGAAGCCCCGAATCTGCCCGATAAGTTCTTGTGCTACACGAACACCAGGGTCAAATTATCCCATTATGAGATTATAGTACTAAACGACGCAATATTTTTGAAAATATTCGATGGGAGAAAATAAGTGTGAAGCAGCATTTCACACAGAGTGAAGACTGGCCAGAAGTTTTTTTTAAACTGTTGATCCAAGGAAATTCAGCAAAGCAATCCTATGTGACAAACAATGCTAGTTTTTCTTCGAAGAAAGAACCAACCACAAGTTCCCATCAGGTTCAGGACCTACCAGGTAGCTAGCTGTGGTCCCGGCTTTCACCCTTATAACAACTGCACGGACAAACGAATGACTTATTCAAAGTTGTGAAGCGGCGGAGGACCCTCTCTATTGAATCAAGGGGCTGACAAGTTCGTGTCATATGCTAGTCAACCAAATTGAAAAACAGGATTAAACTCTTAATTGATAATTGCTCCAAAAATTCATTGTCTGATGAAGTGAACATCTCCTATTGCCAACGTGAATTAAGAGTGTGGGTGCAAGAAGGTTGGATACATTTCTTGCTAATATGTCTTACCATCCATTTTAATTTTAGTGCCAATATAGACATCGAAATCCAGCCATCTGTTAGCCCTATCACACTATTATCGATACGAATAACTTGAAGGAAAAGTAACCTAACAAAGCGTCCTGACAAAGAACATCATAGAAAGAGGGCAATTCGGCTAGTGCTCTGAGCTAACGCGGGACGAAATGAAACGACAAACAGATCCACACTAAAATGTCCCCCGAGCACGGGTTGATTGTAAGCAATGGGTAAAAACAAACGAGAACGCGTTGTCCTATGTTCTCTTGTTTATTGATTTTACCAAACTGTCCTGTTTGAGCTAACAAAAATCGCCAATTTCCGGCAAGCCTACATTAATCAATTTCGTTCGTGAATCGGTAAGTGGTATTGAGCCTGAAGAGCCGGCAACAGCAACTGGGGATTGTACAGTAAAAAATTAATAAAGCAGAAACGCCACCAAGCGTGCACATCTATAGTGACCTTCATAGTGGCCCCATCTAGTCGACACCGTCAGATTCTTCCTATACGTCTCATACAATGAGCTCCACATCCCTGATGGTTTCAAGCAGGGAAAGTGAGTTGCAATAACAATTGTAATTAAAACACGAATGTAAGTGCTCCAACAAATATCAAAGGTTGCATTAAAGTAGCGAAAATGCCAACATTCGGCTAAACAACAAATGTTAAAATCCATCTAAGTAGGTAATTATTTAGATGGCCTTTAATCCTTTCGTCACCACTCGAAGAGACACTCAAGCTACCAACACACTGCCAAGAACAGATTGACAAACGCCAGACTAAGACGTTCCTACAACATTCAACTTTCTACAACAAATGATTGGGTGAAAGGTCGATTCGTAGGCAAACAATGAATAATACTCACGACACATTTTCTATAAGCATACAACTAATAGTTCACAAGATTAAATTCAGACTGGAACACTCTCTATATCTCGGTGCTAGTGTCTCATGAGTGGGTGGAACACTGGACAGCCTTCCACATTCGATAGGATCCCAAAGTGCTTATTTGTACCCGATTCTCCCTAAAACTAGTATCACTTCCACGGATTTACATCGGGTACAAGGTGTTCAGTTGGATGCACACTCGGCTCACCGCCAACTAAATGTGGCACCACCCACTGTACACGGAAGTCCATCCCTCGACATGGCCAGCTAATCCGAAAACGGTTCTCATCCCATCACACAACTCACCACGATGTTATCTCTCCTCCCGAATGGACTGCCAAGAACAGATTGACAAACGCCAGACTAAGACGTTCCTACAACATTCAACTTTCTACAACAAATGATTGGGTGAAAGGTCGATTCGTAGGCAAACAATGAATAATACTCACGACACATTTTCTATAAGCATACAACTAATAGTTCACAAGATTAAATTCAGACTGGAACACTCTCTATATCTCGGTGCTAGTGTCTCATGAGTGGGTGGAACACTGGACAGCCTTCCACATTCGATAGGATCCCAAAGTGCTTATTTGTACCCGATTCTCCCTAAAACTAGTATCACTTCCACGGATTTACATCGGGTACAAGGTGTTCAGTTGGATGCACACTCGGCTCACCGCCAACTAAATGTGGCACCACCCACTGTACACGGAAGTCCATCCCTCGACATGGCCAGCTAATCCGAAAACGGTTCTCATCCCATCACACAACTCACCACGATGTTATCTCTCCTCCCGAATGGCTATTCCTGAGTTGATGGGCCACGGCAATCGGTAAAACGTCTTCTTGGCTGGACAGGTTGGATAAACAGTTGTCCTGTTGTAGACAGCACCACATTAGAAAAGGACCATTTTTGCGGTGATACTCATCAAGTGAGTTCCGAGGGGGGACTGAAACCTACAACCTGTGGTGCCATAGCCTTTCTCTGACATTCTTGGCCAATCCCCCATGGAACACTGACAACCACCAAGATTGCCACATAACGGCTGTATGAAAACTGACCGGCTCACAGAAGAACTACGTCATCGAACTGCTCAAGGATAACACATTCGTAAATCTTATTTGGCAGACGGCATCATTAGACATCAAGGTGGCTCGGAATACATATGACTAAGACGACCAGTATTGAAGACAGCTTGAGGGATATCACATAAGAATCTAAGCAAAAGAGTAGTGCGTCACGTTGTTCTTCGACAGCAATGATCTTCATGGATGAAACTAATATACAGCTTATCAAGAGCCGGCTGTCACTTGCATGTCATGTCCAGAGGGGGTCCGAATTCCGGTCGCTCCAATGCGACCTCATTATGAGTCTTCGCCTTAATGGCGCGAATAGCTAGCCCAGGGATGCAGTTGCGGTTACAATTACAAAAGGTTGGTCATCGTAGGTGTGGCAGTCAGTCACGAAAAGGCCTGTCAACTATTCAGACACGCGTAGTATGGCGCATTTATGTCGCAGATCGAAATTAGCACGAAAGGAATAAACACGCAAGCGCTACCTCCTCGTGTAGATGTCATACTGCGAACATCAAGATTGACAGTGGCACTACTACCTCGATTCCCTGGGACCGAAGTTGGTTTAAGAGTCGCGGCGTAAAAAAACGAATCAGCCTAATACTAAGGAGACGATTTTTTCACACCTCGCTTATCTGTGAAATTGATAGCCTACCGAGTGTAAACGTTCCTCGCAATAATTTTGATTTGGTTTGCTGGTATTTTGGGAGCTGCACCCAAAATGGGAAGATTGAAACGCTTAACGATAGAGCATAAATTCAACCCCGAATCGCACTTGCAACACAACCTAGTAAAAAGGAAGTGAGAAGTCTAGGAAAATCTCTCTGTGTTGGTAGTGTGAGAAGATTTGGGACTTTTGTGGAGATTTCGTCCTGTAAGTGAAGCCAATCTGCTGAAAAGCGGAGAAGCACTGTACAGCTGTTTCATCCTTACGGGGAATCAACAGCAGTACGCATCTCACGAAACCCGCGACGTCCCGGCTAGTAGTTTGAACACTTAACCGTTCGGTCACGAGTGGCTGATCAGCAGTGTGATTAACTTGCATTTAGGATATAGCGCCGCTCATCCTTCAATCACGGGATCCACATCACACGGTCACACGTGTTGACTGGCTCCTCCAGCAAAGACTTCTCAGACAGAAGTTTCACTCATCGGGTGAAGTTTATTCTTCCACTGTGAGATGCACACTGCTGATGATTCCCAATAAGGATGAAACAGCTGTACAGTGCTTCTCGGCTTTTCAGTATAGATTGGCTTCACTTACAGGACGAAATCTCCACAAAATCCCTCTGTCTTCAACCATTAACGCATTGCGTATTCGGTAAATGCTAGGATTCGTAATGGCACACATGTTCCCATCTCCATATTCAACTTAAGTTTTCAGCAATTCATTCATTTCCCATTCAGGCACAAGACAATCAGTGTATCAGTCGGCATAGTCCAATAGGCTAGTGAACTACGAAAACTGCTGACCGTCAAAGGATGCTGTAATAACAGCTCATAATCTGTCGAAGACGTTTGCAGGTATTCATTGTGACATAAACAACCTCCAGTGTACGTTTCAAATACGTTTGCAGAAGAATCCAAGTAACTGTAGCAAGATGAAGGCGATAAAATACCGCGGATTACGACATATAAGACTGAAAGACACAAGAATCGTAATAATAATTACTCACATGTGATCCAAAATTAGAAAAACTACCTACATACAATTTGAGGGAGAAAAAATCGACAAAAGAGGGGAGCCTCACCCAAACGATTGTGGCAAACCAAGTAGCTCTCCTGGGCCTCCGATTTTAACCCGGACAAGGTGGTTCTGTGCTTCTTCAGTGTGATCTGCTTCAGTCTTCTCCTGGTCGCCTTGATCTCCCATGGTGAACCCCTCCGTTCCATCGTTTTGAGCGCAATCACTTATTGATAAACGATGCAACGCCACACCATCTAGGTCTGCACGAACCCCAGCATCAGCGGTGGTTAATGCACTTGCGATATCGTCTATATAGAGTTCAGCTGGTTCACACTGTTGCCTCACAAACTGTGGGCGATTGAGCCGCATAACTAAAAAGGTAAAGATGCATTTGCAATGCGGCTGTCAACACATTGACTACTGTAATTCATAAGCGAAAAAAATAATAAAATTCCATGAAATAGCACTGGATGTTAATCCAAGCTATGAAGCAATTTATATGTGCATAACTGCTCTCGTCACGTTTCCTAACAACCTGCCACTGTTACATTAACGTCCCGATTGACCCAAGTAAAACTAACATATCCGTTAATGACTAGCTCCTCCACAATCCCAGAAACCCTAAACGTAGCTGATCTTTGTATGTTTCCTAACAGGTACCTTATGCTTGCCCGATTTCATATTCACTTCCCTATAAGCTCCCTGGAGCAGGTCATTCCATCTGGCGCACCGATCGAGTTTGTCTTCCTCAAGAGCCTGGTTTGACTACGTCTACACTGTCATTTTCGAAGGGTCCGATTCCGTGGTCGACAAGCGTCTATTTCATTTTATACTGGGACTTAGGCATGCAATGATCACGGATGTTGTTTGCTAGTCGTGAGCGTTTCCATGCATCTGGAGAGGTATCTGGTATAGTCCGATGTGACTGACTAACTAGAGACCATGTTTCCAGCAATTTTATTGGTTCAGTTGAAATCTGTGTTACGTTGTTTTCATTCCTCGCATTTGATTAATTCGATGAATGACTTCCTTCGGAGGTTTTTTTGTTCCTGCGCTGAAGGATCCTTTTTTCAATCGACCCGATAAACCTGATGATCGACACCCAAAGGACGTACCTGAACCGCCAATCAAGAATACTCACTCCTGTGCTGAAGCCTGACTTAGTCGTGGTGATTCCATGCACCTAGTCTTTTGCAGAACGCAGATCTCAACTGCCACAAACGTCGAGAAGCAGTCTCTGCATGACGCTAGGTGCCTAAGGGAAAACCACCTAAACGTAGCTGCTTCTCAAGTTCGTGTATGCATTCGAGAGGCACCAGGCAGTGATACCAGACGAGAAAACTTTCCTACCTGTATGGTGTATCAACAGTGAGGATAGTTCAAGCTTTGACTAACTCCATCAAGTAAAGTTCTGGCACCATTTGGAAAGACAACTTCAGAAATGGTCCAAACAATACAAGCGGCATTTCGATTCGTCGTGGCACTAGTTTTGTGGGCCGTATTGCCAAATCACAGTCAAAAATATCGTTTCACTGATAAATCGTGTGAGTATGGTAGTGTGACCAGTTTGTAAAAAGCAATAATCGTGCCCAATGAGTCATTTGTTTGCAGCTTACGTAAATTGGGCGCTGAAATTCTGCTTGCGCATAGTACGTATAGTGCTAGTTTAGCCGCAGTTGAAACGACTACTCGCCTTTTCACCACTTGTGAGAAAATCCGTGTTATATTGTACAGACGTAATACACTACTTATAGGGTTGCTGAAAACTCTCCGACAGCAACCTTATGAGTAGTGTATTACGCCTATACGACACCTCGAATATCGTGTCAACTGAAACATGGTGCAGCCTGGTGTAACACACGCAGTTGCTTAAAACATCATAAAAGAGGGATTCGGCTGGGTTCTAGGTGAGTCTACCGTCATAACCAAATTGGCTTGCAAGTGAATGTATCTTGCTATTTTCATGTTATATACTTTCTCCCGTATCGTATTATTAGCACACTGTCTGCCAAATAAGCATCGGTTAGACATCTATGGTGAGATTATTGAACGAAACAATTTCCACCGCAGAATATTGCGAAGTGTGTAAAAACAGAGCATTCAAAAATATTCTAAAAGGGAATTTTCCCCCCTATTACCGTTAACACTTGTGCTAGTACCCAAGACAGTCACACGTACTGATTTCAGACAAGTAGGAGGCTACTACTGTTGGTCTAAAAGTGTCCAGGCAAAATTGCAAAAGGGCAGCTGAATCAGAAATGTTCTACTAGTGGGGAGACGAAGGCAGTTGACTGTTAGCAGTGCATATGGACCTAATTGGACTATTCCACTGCAGCAGCTTCGCCGCCGGCTGTAGACTCAGTCAGCATCAAATGAACAACAAAAACGTGTCCAGCGACAATCACATGTAGGCTCAACCGAATTTCACTGGGGGGATGGCGTGTGAGGGGGTGGGAATGCACTTCCCAATCGGTGTCCACACTGCGTGCGTTCAAAAAGGAAGCGCTTGTCTCGAAATCCAGAACTTGGCCGAACGCATGTCCAGGAAGGCGTTCAGCTATCACAACACAAGTTAAGTATATGTGTGAGCTGTGTTCGACCTTGGCAGGTTCCTTTAGTTGGCTAAAATTGCGCTGCCTGCATAGCTTCGGTAACCCATTGATGAATTTTTACCAATCATGAAACGAATCATTTGCATACCAATTCGTGTGCACGGGAGATTCGATCACCCCCTAACCACATGTTGTCTCAGCTTGAGAAAAGCCAGAGGATCTGTTGTGTAGATATCACAAACTTCTCATTGATGCAGAAACCCTCAACAATCCCAGATAGCTAGTCTTCCAGGTATTGAGATATCCAAGGCTCTAGCCAACTGACGGTAATCGCGTCAATTTAGCTGACCGTATCTCGTACTAAACTGCAATAACTATGCTAAGTATTCACGAAGGACAGTAACTACAAGTGGCATTCACTAATTTTGAGCAGGTGAGTCCAGCGCTATGAGAATTGTTTGCGATTAGTCTGGAACATTATTAGGAAATGCAGCAGTCTTGGCTTGCTTCATACGACTATTCAAGCAGGTGGCTATTGTAAAAACCGGACGCAAACGTAGCGAACCGAGTGGTCATTTACCGGGTACAGGAAATGACCCGGGTAATGAAAGACAAACGCGTTCACAGCCAGGTACAGCGCCATCCGGATGACAGCAAAAAATGGCGACAGTGCTAGGGTTTGACAAGAGAGACCAAGAGAAAATGTTTTGCACCAAACGAAAGATGGTTTAGCTACTGTTTTGTGGAAAACCCCACATGTACATGGTGAAAACCAACCATCCGTATCTCGCTTCCCATAAATGGGTGCACGTTCTTTTAGCCGTGCACAACAGCGCGCAACCTGCCTGTCTGATCCCACCTGTCTGACCAACGACCCGAGTGGCAGACGAGGATGTCCTACCAGCCGACAGTTGATCGATTCTCGCGTCACAGGCGATTTGACCAATAGGAAAAGCAACGGCGAAAGTGGCCACAGCCAATCATTGCGAATGGGAAAACATGTGTGGTTGGGTGACTTGTGCAAAACAGTGCAGGAGTGTTGCTTGTCGAACCCAAATGTTCCGTAATAGTCTGCCAAAGATTATGTTGTGAAAAGAAGTTGCTCGGATTTGACAGGAGGAGTTTAAAAGCCTCGAGGGTATAAGCCCCGTTTGTGTTGGGCTTTCCATGCGCGGTTTTATTCTAAGTGTGTGTTACTGTTTGCTAATTGGATATGCATCCTCGTATCAAACACAGTCAACTGACGGATTGCTCACGAGAACAGCAGAAGTCACGCAGACTTCAGAAAACGAGAATGACGTGCCAAACTGCTCTGTAGAACTCCGATTAGTCCCTCCGACCAATTTATCCCGCCCAAGCCCAGGTCGTCCGCACAGCCTTCTGTTGAATGTGGGACAACAACAACATCTCGAGCTTGAATGTAATTGCTGTTGTGAAAACATAGAAGAGATTAAAAGGGTTGCATCGGAGCAACTAGCAAAGCTGCGTGGACCATCAACTGCTGAAGCGGTTCAGAAAAGCGAGCCGATAGGACAACTGCAGTACCGTANTAACCTGCTGAAGGGGTTAAGAAAAGCGAGCCGATAGGACAACTGCAGTACCGTATTATTTCAAACAACGATCATAGTGTTTACTTTACAGAGACCAAAAAGGCACATGACCATGTACGAGTACACCACAGGCTAGCTAATCGTACTTCGCGCTCTCCCGATTGTGGAAAAAACGTGTATGTATGTGCGGAAGACTTCAAACCGGTAGCTCCGTGTAGAGCAAGAGATGAGAGCAACGGAGATAATGTGACAACACTCAGGTCGCGTGAAACCTCTATTCAACGGTTTTACTTGTTTGGAGACAATCTGGGGCACAGCGACATCAAGGTGTACTTGGTACTGACAGACTCCACCAGTAAACCTGGCGACCAGAAGTCCACAGAATACGGGACAATAGAGGAATCCGGTGAAAGACAACAGAACAAAGAAACCAAACCTCAATACTGGGTTACCATCGCGACCGCCCAAATATTTGTCATCAAACAAAATTTCTTAGAGGGTGAGGAGACACCAGATGAAGTGTACGAAACCCCGTATTACAATGAATCCATGGAAGGGTACTGGGAGAAAGTTCTCCACGTAACCGTACGGTTGAGACCGCAAAAATTCTATATTGCTTCGGACTGGAGTGCAGCTGTGATTGCTTTTTTGATCGCTTTATCTGTCGGGTGTTGCAACGACCCCATGTTAATGCACGCACAACTCAAACAGCCCCGAGAGATCATACTTGGATTATGCTGTCAGCTGCTTCTTGTCCCCACAGTAAGTATAAATTCAGGTCCAAGACGAACTTTGAAGTACTTTTTTACGCAAAAACCTGTCTCACTTGACACTTTGATGACGTGTGGTCATTGTAGTGATGTGTTGGGAGTAAGCTAAACACATTGTGTAACACTATGAATCCGCCTTTAAACTGGAACCTAGTTTAACACGTTTTCGAAGTGCGTAGAATTGCGATCTACAACTCATTTCTCCTAGAAGTGCTATGTGGTGCTTGAAATGTTTGGGGATTTCTGAATCTCTGTTGGTGGTTAGATTCCAAGGATTTCCTCCTGGAACAAGATCGGGAGCCATTTGAAAAAGTGAGAAAGGCCGTTCCAGCGATATGAAACCCCTGTGGGACGACTTATTGCTTCAATGGAGCCCTCAAGGGAATATCTTAATCAATGATGAATCGATAAACGTGGAAAGTAGACTATTTACTTATTCCGCGTGGAAAATTCCCGAAATTAAGTTCAAAAGGTGCGGATGGATAACTTATTGCATTTCGATATCGGGATAAGACAACCCAAAAGGTGTTGTACACACCCAAGGTGAGCAGTCTGTGAGTAAGGATAGGATTCCTGGGATCCAGGAATAAGGCCTGAACAGGAAAATAAGTTTATGCGATGTCGAAATTAAGTAAACAGATTACCAGGATAGCCAAGTTATACATTCTAGGGCTCAAACTCCAATTGCGTAGACATTTCCCCCAACTCCTCTTTCTGTTCATTGAGTGCACAGGGAACCAGAAGAATTGCAGATGTCAATACATCCGGACCATGTCACTTGTGACTGTCATCAGAATGCACGGAAGTCGGCGACAAAGCCCATCGTGACAAGCACAACGAGAAGATACGCTAACCGATATGAGAAGAAGCAACTAGGGACATTGGAAGTTTCAGTCTACCAAGCTCAACAAATGAAGGGTGAAAACAAATGGAAAAATGACATCCTATTCGATACCCAGTGGATTTTTCGATGCATTTGGTGTAAATCCACCTAAGGGCCTTTTTACAAGGAAGAGTGATACAATAAGGGAAATGAGGTTATTGAACCTCATCAAATAGGGATTACACCCCCGCCAACATCGACTCCATTCAGCATCGTTAGGTTTGGCTTACGATCGATATCTATTCGCCTGATTACAGTCCCCTTTCTAGCACATCACTGTACATAACCACGAAGCGCAAATCCCCAACAGAAACCAGGATCCAAAAGTCATACTCATGGTACTTAGTTAGTTGTTAGTACCAACTAACCACCTGATCCCACTCAAATGAGTTATGGTGCTCAGAGCCTAAACCATCACTTTTCTATGGAGAAAACGAGGGAAAAACTGAACCTTGATTTGTTAAACGCGTTGTGCTTCTGTCAGGATTATCCTAGGCGAAACGCCATGTAGAAATTTTGTACAATATTAACTATCAACTGTCTATTGTAAAAAGAGTAGGGACGATATGTGGTTCTCAAAATTGTGTAGACTGACGGCTGCACAACTAAAGTAAGGAAGCATAGTCGGAACAAACTACTGAATCAAGTCAGGGAGGTTAAATTTTCTCGTGTGTCCGAATCACTCAGACTGGGTTTGACAAAACTGCAAATATTCATGTCTATCCTTGTAAGCCCGTGTGCACTTGTAGCAGTTAGTGTGCGCGCCTCTATAAACCCGTTTAACCAAAGCATTGTGGTGTTGCCAGGGCAGAAAAACTAACGGTATGGGCGAACATCGTTGGACCAGGCAATGACGTGGGTGGAATTGAAAAGATTTACACTCTTTTGATGTCCTTTTAAAGCAGAGATTTTTTTCCAAAGGATAGGTTCGATCTTCTACTAAGATGGAATTTTCAGTAATGGTAAAACTGGCATTTTAGGGGGATGTCCGTTTATAAGCGAACCCAAACAAAGATAACAGTACGTCATCAGCCTTTGTACTTCATTGTGTTAGAGTCAAAAGTTGAGGTAAAAGCGCCAAGATCTGCTGCTAGGGTTGATCCAGTTGGTGTTCCAAACAAAAAGATTTCCTGAAATAAGACCCAACGTGTGGTCTTTCCTCAGAAGCCACAGTGTCCACAGAATGAAGAATTAAGATCAAAGCATTCGTATCATCCAATCAACCATAAACGGGCGCTTTGGAATAAACGACCATAAAAGCTAAGACGGAATATACTGAGCTCACCGATGAAGGTCAGTTAAAAAACAGTCCATGGCTTTGAATCGATAAATATACTTTGCCACGAATGTTGAACTTTGCCGGAAATACACGTTCAACTATATCGTTAAATGACAATAATACTCATCTGAAGCATTATCAGGTGTGGTAAAATAGGGCCACAGGGAAACATGCCCATGAGAATTAACACTGCAGATTTCTATCCAACAAACATGTAAAAGTGATCGCGTGCAAATACAGGCCCATAGAAACATGGGAGCATAAAAGACTCTAAAGTAACACTGTCTTATCGTATTCAGACTATCCGTGAGAAAATAGCTGTCAAGAAACTGCGAACCCTACAAGGACAGATCGAATGTACCACACGTGAGCCGCGGATTAGCTGCATACAAAAATGACATTTTGAAAAATGGCCAAAAAAAATACATTTAACGCCAACTTTTCATGGGGAAATGAGGTCTGCTGGCTGATGGCGTCCAACGTGGAAAAATCCATTTTCTAAGCGGAAAACCAATGGGAGAAAATGTTTAAGCGCAAGACCAAAGCAATGCTGGTTGCGAACTATTGATTTTAGCAATCCCTCACAAGGTTCTGAAGACAGAGAGACTGACATGAACGTCCCCAAGAGTGAATCCATTAGTAGGCACAAAATAAGGCGGTTCAGTGACATCCCATGACATAAAAGTGGCGTTACAGCAAACAAAATTCCACTGCCCAGACGTAAATTCATACGAAGACAAGTTTCAAGTAGGTTTAAATCCGATATTCAGTGTTACTCAAAATCGCCGGGCTGTTAGACCACCTACAAACAGGAAATTGCTAACAATGAATCTACCCCAAATGTCAAACGGTTTTCTGGCTTTCTGAGTCACGAAGTTGGCCAACACCAGATCACGCAATTCGAGCAACGTGATTGAAGGTTGGTTGCATTATATTCTGTAAGTAAACCAAACTGTTGAACAACCCCATGCAGCTAAATGGCAATGCTGAAATCCCTATCCGTAAAATTGCAGGTTCGAATCCTTGCTGGGATTTGTGACAGGCGAGCTGTTCAGGAATCCTGACAAGAAAACAGCTGCATAGTTGCGCAAAACCAGTTAGCTGTACCACATTTCGCGCCTGATTGGTACCATATAATTGCGGAATGGCCTACACAACATGCACAACAGTCAGCTGAGGACATCTTCCGATGGTGTTTGGTTTTCGATGGCTCATTTCGAGATTAATATTAGTAGATAAACTGAGGTTATAATTACATTTAATCCTTAAGCGGATGAGTGAACTGACCTGACAAAAAGTGGCACTCAGGACTTAGTCAGCAGACGTCATCCGTTGCACATACCTTATGAGGGAACTCCTCCAATGCCAAAAAAATTTCAGTACTAGATGAACATCCACGCGAATTACTCCCAACCGTCTAAGTCATTGTTTCTGGATCGAGTCCAAAAGGTAAACTGGATACGGTCACCAGTGTAGATTGTGGCAATTCATATAACCTGAGTTATTCAAGCGTTCTTCACCGGAAAAAAGGTGTGATTAGGTCCCCAAGGCTTAGCAGTTTCAAGTCACATCGAAACTGCAGACAACACATAAAAACATTATGAAAGCTAAGGAACGTCCACTGGAAAGGTGATGTAGTTTGTAAGCAGACCTATGATCTTAAGTACACTGGATGAGTAGGTATAACACATACAAAGTTCGGTCAGTTGAGTGGGCACAACTAAGAATGCAAGCGGGTATTAGAGTTACCACACGCAAGACAAGTTTTTAGGATGCATTTCTAAAGCATCGACTTCAATCAACGAGGAAAAGTGACCGAGGCTACTTAGAATCCCTACCATGCGGTCCCTAAGATAAACGTAACCTGACGCATCGTCCGACCCAACTATTATACCTCATAATAGTGACTTTCATAGTATCGAATCCTCACATCACGTTTACGCAACGTAACCATACAGTTACTTGAAGCTGTGCAGCCGATTCTGCTCCAGAATGAATGAACTCAACGAATGCAATGAGTTACAAATGATGACATGGTCGGGAGACTATCACACTAACACATGTTTGGCAGTCTCATTGTCGTTTTGTACCCAACAACGGTAACCTGGATGGTGGTAGGATACTCTGATTTCAAATGGAACGCAAACTTCTTGTAAACTGATCTTCCAAAGAGTCTCGTTCCTCTGATGGAGGCGCGGCGCCACGAACGAACCCTCCTGTACGGTCAGGTAGAAAGTGCTCCGCAGGCTACATTATATATATATATATATGTATATATATATATAATATACATTATATATGCGTGTGTATCGAAAGCATAGCAAACAAACACCCATTTGAGATGGTAACTTGAGCTGGAAACAAGTTGATGTACAAACAAACAGTGCATGGCTCAACATAGCACAAATATTTGGGAAGGGAATATTCATGTTTCGAAACCCGACGTGACTTTACGTCTGCTTCCACCTGAGATTACGTCGCCTTGAATTATTACAACCATTTCCCATCTATTGCACAGCATCTGTGCAGCGTGCACAGATGCACTAAATACGACATTAGGAACGCAAGTCTACCCTAGTCAAACAAGCCTTGCTATCAAGTCCACCAAGTATATCAACAGACTACGGAGAGGACATGAGTGTGCACTCGTCAAATGGGTGTAGCTTGATTATGGAATAAGTCTGTAAGAAGTAAATAGGCTCATATTATACAGGTTTGTTTATACGAACCAAAGTGTGCAAGTGCGAATGTATTGGGTAATGGCAGTCTCACAATTCACCCCATATATCCCTGTGATATTTTAGATTACGCTCGCCGTGATTGCCTGTTTCTCGCTGGACGAAGATCAGGCTTTTGGGCTATTCGTCACAACTACAGTGCCTGGTGGTGGACTGGCATACTTGTTTACGTATCTCGTTCAGGGTGACCGTCAACTGTCGGCCGCGCTTTCCTTCATGACAAGCTGGTTCGATATCGGTGAGTGGATGACATTTACAAAAGTGTGACCTAGAAAATGTCCTTTGTTAAGCAGCACACAAAATGCAATGTATTGTCACTACGTAAACAGGAAACAACAGCTGTTAAGGTTCCATTGTAGGAAGGATGATTTTCTCACCCGAGAAGGTTAACCCTGACAAGCTAGTGTATGGACATATTACAGAAGAAAACCAGCTAGAAAGTGGTACAAAAAATTTAGTTCTACCAGAAACTTCAAGAATGCCTATAAATGGACCGCATGAGAATTTCGTTCCTTTTTCCTATGAAAACCCTCGACCTCATGTCAAGAAAAAGACTTGGTGTGTCGAACCGGAATGAGATTCTTATGCAACATGTTGATTCGAACCTTAGATGAGTCTATCGTTAACACCAAATTTATTTACAAATGAGTGGTGATCTCCACATTGTCCCTTCATATTCCAGTCACTTCCCCGGTTTGGACATTTGTAATTAGTAATTACTGGTATCGGCGTCCGATGGACGTAGGCAAAACTGTTGGCTGGCTATGCGTTGTAGCCTGTGCTCAAACAATCGGTACAATTCTGCGCGGATGCCGGCCTGGTTTGGCACACGCTGTACTCACCTGGTTCACCAGACCTCTCCTGTTATTGGCAGGGATCCTACTGGTCACGCTGGGTGTTTACATCAATCACTACGCGTTTAACGAGTTCGATTACAAGCTGGGGCTAATTTTAGGCCTGTTGCTGGTCATCACGCTTGGATTTGTTCTCGGCTGGATCTGTGGTCAAGCGACTAAACAAGGACTACAAGCTGCAAAAACGCTGGCGACAGAAGCAGCAGTCTTTAACGGTCTCCTCTGTGTGCCTTTGTTGCGGACATCACTGACCAAACCGGAAGGTGATATGGCGGCTGTGGCCCCAGTATGGGCTACTGTGTTGATCCCTATTCCACTGGCCTATCACGCAGTAATATCAGTGCTACATGTGAGTCATTTATTAAACTGCTAAAAAGAAATCTATCACTATAGTTTCTTTGCCCCCCCCCCTTCAACTCAAACATTTGGAATTTCAACATAATACAGCGGTCTATTAGTAAATTTATGGCGATTCCATATTCTACATACCCCGATGTTTTGTGCCAAGATGAAGAGGAATGCTGATAAAGCTAGGGTTAAGCACTAGGAGGTCGTGTTTCGACTCCTGAATTTTTTATAGTTTAAAAGGAGTCTTGTGTGTATAAAATTAAAGCTGACCATAAATTCAGCGAACGGATGATATGCGCTGAATATTTTGATGTTTTGCAGAGAATGGACGTCAGAAATTTGAAGAACGCGCGATCATACAAAAACACTGAAGAAGCGCAATCGGAATGACAAAAAAATCTTAAGGATTAAATTAAATTGCCCAAAAAGTCCGCTTGCATTGAGTCAAATATGTATTCCAGGGTGCATCCGAAACGTGAGTAGAAAAAATACACCAACTCAAAACTGTCTGTAGTCCAAGTGAGCAACTAAATGTTTGCCTCGTTGATGTCTTGATGAAACACCCGTGTCAGACTGTCTGTGTAGATAGTTTTAATGATAGTAGGCCAACCCACTGTTCAAACCCACTGATATTCAACCAAAAGCATAGATGAATCTTCGCTTGTTACACAACTCACACTAGTCAAGCAGAAGGCACTGGTCTTAACTCCAGGTATCCCCACGTAAGGAGTCGCAGAAGACCTGGTTTTGTTATTCCCGAATTCAAATTGATTCGTCCGATCTAACAGAGTTAGAATCTATATTTGTTGAACTCTAGCAGTATGAGTTCTTTTATTAGAAATTTAGCGCAGTAGTTTCTAATTCTACAGTGCAAACCATGATGTTTGGATGTTATTCACTGGCGTAGCAGCAGTTCACAACAACAATTAACGACTCGAGACAACGACGCTCCATAATGAGATAAAAGACAGCTGACATCCAGGCGAATCTTAACAGAAAGTGGCTGATCCCAAAACCTAGACGGCTTAGAAAAATTAGAAACTTCGGCCACTCGTACAAGAAAAAAACACATGCTTGTCCACCTAATTTTTGAGTTTTTCCATGTTCTCATAAACCAAAATAAGACACTGAAATCCGAAAAACTAGGGCCGTTTCCGTAGTGATTATCGTAACTGAATGCTTCACACTCACTAAGAACTGCCATGTTTTATACAAGATCCCTAATTTCTTGCTCTGATTGGTTCATAAACCACTAGACGCACCTAGACAGAGATGAGCGGAACTAAAAACAGAACGCACTGTGACGACAAGCTAGAATGTGATTTCTTTTACAGTAAAATGAGGACATCGAAGGTCGGTACAGTGCAATGAAAACTGAATTTCTCATAGACCATTATCATCATCGTTGACAATAAAACTAGATGAAAACACTGGTGCTTCACTGCTGTACGATCGTGTCAACTTATTTCAATGAGGCCTCGTAATCGAAAGGAAAAAGAGATAGAAAGGGAGGTAAACTTAGGGCAAGTCTCCCAGGAAAATCCGAGGTGCTTACACATCCAGCACTCAGTTAGGCAATATGAAGATGCTGACATCGGTTACCTGCCATATCTTTCAGTGCCTCCAGCCAAGCACAGAGGGTCACGTAAACCTCATCTTGCAGAGTGGACAGCACCAAACGTTTTGTAACACCCTTCATTCCCTCCTGTCATATCGGATTCTGCCAACGTCTAGGTTTCTGCCACTTCGGATTAGGCACGGAAAACAGCGCTCATTTCGGAAAGCGGCAATTCAATATGCGTAACACATGGCCCAGCCACCTTAGATTGCAGTGATGGAGGCATTGAGGGAATTACCCTCTGTTTCACTAAAATCCGGTCTCCTGATAATCTCATTGCGAATTCACCGGCTCCAGCCGATTTCGGCTGTAGTTCTGAGAAAAATCTAAATTTCACAGATCCTTTGTCCGAAGCGGCCAAGTCTCGTAGCCGAATAGCACAGTAGTGTGGTACATGCGTCCTTTGAGACCCAGTATAGTGCCTCTTTGACGACAAATGGATAACGCAATTTCAGACTTCGGGATTCGAGCGCTTACGTTGTCCATCACACTCCATCAGAGCTAATACAACTTCCAAGATATAATTGTGTTTCGCAACTTACAGTGCTCAGAAACCGCACGTCGTGCAGCATAAGTTTGCAGTTTGCGGGCGCGAAGCACATACCGAAGAAATGACCAGTCTGTCACGAATAGACTGAAACATACAGCAATGTTACTGTCTGCGCATCTCCATAACCCATGGAGCTATACTGGGGAGTGCACGTGCGAAATTCAGAGAGCCTCATATACCAGGCTGGTTAATGGGTAGAAGTCTGACTAACAGTCTTCTGGTCCCCCGGGTGCCACTTGAAACATGTGTGGTGAATTGTGCCATGAAAATTTGAGCTGTTCCGACGGTCCTACGTCAACTATCACTGCTTTGAGGTTGGGCTCCTGAGCCAAAGGTTTTGGCTGAAGACCCCATCCATCCCCTTGTCTAGGTGAAAGCATCCAAGCAATATCTCAGCTCACGTAAAACCACCAACTGCTCAGTTATGAACAGGTACCAAAACCAGAAGACAACACCCACTAAGCTAACCCAGTTTGCTCACTATAAATTGCGCACTACAAATACGTTTTATGTGCTACGGTCTCGTTCACAAATGAAGGGGTGACGAAAGTAACAACGCACTGGTGGTGATGCCCTAGCCATTCACTTCTGTGATCCTCATGGGATCTTAGTTGGAGCAACTACATTTAATCACTTCCAAAACAAACGAGAGGCGCAGAAGCACCGATTGAACTCTCAGTCCTATCCCGATTCATAGCCGTGCCTTATCAAGAGGAGGTGGATGGCGGTCTTGAGGCTTAGAACGTTGGAATAAGTGGCGAGCACTTTTCACTACTAGAGAGTAATCAGTAGTCCAAACTTTCTTACGAGCAGGCAAAGTACGTGCCATCACAATGTATTTCCGTGTCGCTTTGTCTTTCAGCGCTGGATAAAAGATTTCTTGCAACGAAGAAAGAAGAACGAAGAACAAAACTCAATGGCAGCAATTCTCGGAGGTGGTCCACTCGGACCGGGAGATATAGGCGTCGCTTCCGTTGCAGCGGTTGCGGCTGCAGCAATCGCAGTCGCGCCAGCAATTACTGCAGGCGCGAGGGGGCAGGCAGGTCCAATGATAAACCTCACATATGTCAATACGAACGACAGTGAAACCAGCACGAGTCGGCGCCAATCTGCAGCAGATACAAGAATTAACTCGCCTACAAGAACAGAGGTTGCTGGATCAAATACTAGACCATCACTAGAAGAGATCCATGCACGAGAAGTGGATTATTTGACGTCGCCCGGCTATGAACCACTGCATATAGAGTTCAACGAAACAGATTTACCTATCATGCCGCGTGCATCCACAAGTGAACATCATCAATTGTCTGGTTATGCAAGTACCCATCACGAAACCCATATTCCGAAAGCGACCTCTGCATGGTTTACCAGTTCCACTGAGTATTCAACCCCAGGAAAACAGACCGGGAATGATAAACCTCTGTCATGTTCTTTACTGGAAACATCTCCCCCACATCCAACCCACCCTCTTACCAAGCACAGCCAATTTCAAAACAACGCAACCGGGTATGATGGTAGTAACGCAAAGCTACTTTCACACAAAGCCGAACGACACAACCCCACCCCGTATACCAACCTGTAACTAACAGCCTTAAATAACGTTAGATACCAGAACACAACATCACAAAACAGATACCCCAATAAAAATTACTTAAACACAATAGCTTTTATACATACAGCAGGAAATGCGAATGGAGAAGTTGGTGAAATTGTACAGAAACACACACGCGACTTCAAAAAGCACCATTGCTTTGAGACCCTAGAAAACCGTTGACTAATTCCCAGAAGCAGGTGAGAATGTTTAGCTACATAGTAAACGCAGTTACACTGAGAACAAGCAGAAACTAGCGGATGCGGTGGTATCACACTTAACTGAAAAACAAGGGCTAGAGGCTTAATAACGATTCGGGATTTTAGATCTTAAGACTGGTAGAATCTACCTAAGCCGGTTACCAATATGGCTGTTGGTGAGAGTCACGGTTATCTTGGTAGAATGAAACAGTTAGGGACGTTTGTGAAGACCAGGCGAGACTAGAAGACTAAGTATGCCATCTAATCGTGAACCTCTAAACGATTTTCCGAACGTTCCTAATGCGGTTTTCGGGATATAGTGCATCAAATATTTGAGTGAGCCAGTCAAAATGTCCGGTGACTATGAGTTTGCCAACGACAATTTTTCGAATCGACTTGAAAGGACCGTTGGCCCGACGGATTGGGGCAAATACGTACGTTTTTTGTGCAAATGTCCCAACAACATTACGATCAACAGGTTTGAGGGTGATTTCAAAGTGTGTCGGTCAAGCTGAGTAAGTCTGAGTTTCATTTAGAACAACTGGCCTAAGTGTATCGAGATAGGAAGTCACTGAAACGGGCAAAGCGCTGGCATGAGTACCGTAAATATTGCTACTGTTCTCTAGCAACCAGGATGATCCTAACAGCAGTTGTTCTGATTGTTAAAAATATCCTTCGTTGGTGATTGAGAGCAGCATTGCGTTCTGTCCAATTAAAGTTATACTGATAATCAGATTCACCCAACTTGCGGTATGCAACATGTCTGATTTACAAAATTTTATTTGTCGTTCAGCTGTAGCGCCCTTCCGGTGGTTAACTACCATGCCACCAGAAGGAAGCACGAAAGCCTGGATACTGCCAGATTGTCCAAGTCTAGAGAGGGGAAGTCGAGAGGGAGAGGTAGCGTTCGATCCACGGACCTTCCGGTCAGTAAATTCGCGCTCTAACAACTGAGCCACTTCGCCCCCAAAAGTCTATTCACCTTAGCTATTCTTCATAAAGGGCAATCGCAACTGCAATGCACGCCGAAAATGTGACTTTTAAATCTGTTTCGGTTAGTTTCTCCCGAGTTATTTCAGCGTGGCATAAACTGGTCAATTTCTTCCGCTCGGGCATGTTACATTAAAAGAAAGCATCATTCCACTCGGTCACCCCTTCAGCGACCGTCCTCTCAATATAACTGAACTTTGAATTGGATGTCAATATCATTTTGGCACCCGTTTGCTTGCCAAATAGTCGTAACCGCACTTAGGCCTTAGTCAGCATCAGTAACTAACTAGTATCCTTTCAATCTCAAAAGCGAAAGGTAACTATTGTTAGACATCATCATCGACAGCATGACATCAGTCTTCAACACTGACGCTTCGCTACCGTGCAACCGTGATTTATTTGAAACGCTTATTGCGAAAAAAGGAATAAAGGTGGATGGGGAATGGACTTGGTGCTAGTTTACTACAATCATTCCGAGGTCCCTACACCACCAGACACTCATTCGGGCAATCTGGTTAGAAAATGAAGACGAGAACGCCGTTGACATCAAGTAGCAGCCATATATTGTAGCGTCTCCAACTAGATACCATAAGCCAGAGATAAATGGCGGAGAGTTGCGACGCTTCTCTAATTTCTTGTACACTCCGTTTTCACACTTTGCTTACCCCATATTCACAAACTAAAAACGGACATGACTATTAATTTACATTTGTCCAAGATATAGTGGCCTACTCACCCGGCTCTAATTCTCAAAAGAAATCTCGTTTTAACGGCATTCAACCGCCGTTTTCTATTTGAGAAGAGCCTTGATGCGCTCGCCTTTACACAAGTGTTCACTCTCACCATACACGGCATTAACGGTTGGCGTTGGTCGGTAAATGTCACAACAGAATTTAAGCGCGCCCATGCCTAGTGAGACCATACGAAGCGAAACCAAAGGCTTCACGAATCTTTTAGAAAGCAGGGATTACGCAATGTCAACAGAAGTGTGCAGCTAGATTAAGCTGTTGCGCGCGGGCAGGCTCACAAGCCTTATAGCTGGTGGCAGTAGCTGGCTAAGGAAACTTCAAGGACGCTGATAACTGGTGTCGTAGATCCATACATGCGTCAGAGAGTGTGCTGGTTTGGATGTTGCAATCCAAAACAAACAATCTGTTTCATCCCGTCTGATGGGTGAATCGCAAGAGTGCTCATTGAACGTGTGGGCTGGGAAAATAAAAGAATTCAATCAAATGACACCGCCCTGAAATGAGACTAATTTGGTGGCCCCAATTCACATGGTACTTGGAGGGTAATGGTTCGTGTGATCTGGCGGTTATCTTCGGTACGATAAAGTGATCTCCAAGAGAGTGTCCAAGGTAGGAGAGCGTAAAAAGTAGGACCATAGTACGTTTCCGGTTTATTTTTTAACATTATGTGAACTAAATCGTGACCAAAGTACATGAGATCACTAACCAAAACCCTTGTGGGTTATTAAGTAAGGACGGTCTTTCAGTCTCTGGGCCCAGAAAAATAAGTTCGAACCCAATAAAATATGATTGCTCCAAGTAAAGTACAATCACGTTCGCCGTTGGAAGGGTTTCCCTTGGCCGATTTGTGAATGAAAACGTCAATGAGTGGCATTCCCGAAGGGTGGTTAATCTAGGAATGATGTCGCAACCGGGGTGAAAAGAGTATCATTGTACGATTTCTCCCTAAATTGATCGGCCCCTGGTGGTATGTCTTGTGAAGCGTTGCAAATTCGACATCTTGTGTCGTTGGAAAAATTGCCCACACAACTGTGTGCAGTGAACTTTACCATCACGAACCTATGTTTTTTTTGTTGCCACTTTCACTTTTTCCCAATACCGGTTATTTTGTGGGATATCACGAACCATGTTTTTTTTGTTGCCACTTTCACTTTTTCCCAATACCGGTTATTTTGTGGGATTTTTAAATAACCTGACAGCTTTCGAAAGTTGGTCTAGTGAGGATACTCAATGATCATAATGGCGTGCCGAGCACCCATTAGTTTTCATTTGGATTGCAACCCTCCTTGAAATGTCATGCCAGATGCATCAGGATAAAACTTTATACAAATGACGAGCCACCAGTTTAATCCAAAAGCCGATAGACATGGCTGTGACCTCGGTCCTTGGTTAGAGCGCGAAATTACTGACGGAAGGCCCGTGGTTGAAACCTGGCCGCCGCATATCGACTGCTCCAGTTCAGTTTGCGGCAACCCGGCAGTATCATGGCCCTCGTGCACAGTAGCTATGCACTAAGTGTTACAGCTGAATGACTATTCTTCTTACTGGAGCAGTGGGATACCTATAAGAATAAAGGAAATCAATAAGCTGTAGTGTCCAACGCCCCAACAGCAATAAACTAAAAGTCAATACTCGTATCATTCTCCTTTGGACAGTCATTCTCCTGTCCTGAACTTCAGTCCAGTGCTTCCGCTCTTTTCTGTGGACTCACCAGAGTAATGACGCCAGGATAGAAGGACGAATGTTCAAAAGAAGTGACGTGGGTATAAACAATACATGTCCCACAAACACTACAACTGAAACCAAGTCTGTCACAGTAAGGAGTTCAAAAGAACCATTACGTCAAGCTCGATATACCAAGGCTGCTTACAACGTTCAGTTGCAGTGAACACCTTTAACGCCCATGATGTCTGCACAAGCTCTAATCATTCAAGAAAAACAGCACATCGTTCCGAAACTCAAGAAAGCTGCAAAACGAATGGACGGGAGTGTGTCGACTCAACTAACTTAACAGCATCAGCGATTACTTTTTCACCGCAAAAGTAACGAAGATAGTGGAAGCATTGCTACTGACATTCGTTTACATGCACATGGCAGAACAAACAAGCAGTCAATCAATTTATCAGCTATAAACCGTATACCATAGACACTGGTTCCAGCTACTACCGCTTCCATCACAGGAAGAGTGTGGGACATACATCCGAGCCCTGGTGGCGGTGGCCTGTTCACTTGGTTCGGAAACTGAGTAGCTGGGCATTAATGGCGATAGTTTTGAGGCATGAGCGCCGCTGACTGCGCGATTGTGTCATTTCTGCCAATGTCACTAACCATTGGTGAGTTGCGTCCCGAGGCCCCCATTCAGGGAGACAGTAGTTGTTCACCCCACGCAGTTTACCGGTTAGGGTATCCATACTTCATTGCCAGGTCATACACTATCAAACTCTTGTTTGCTTCAAATCAGCACCAGGCTAAGCTAAAAGGGCTCTGTGAGGTAGACGGTCTTCTGATATGTAAGATGAATAACCTAATCAGCGTGATTGATTAACACAAACTGAAGTCACGTCGGCGCCATAGGTATTGGAGGTTGGCAACAGCAGTCCTGGATTCCCCGATACAAGAAGTAATCTCATCTCCAGCCAGTCCACCGGAACTTACACGACTGCCAGGGTAAACAAATTTATCTAGCGCGTTGATTGACTTGTCTGAATGCATGAGTTTTTGTTTTGATCCAACCCAACCTTGTAGCAGCACTTTACACTTTGCAGGTGTGAAGTGCATGCCAAACCGTGCGGCAGAATTATTTAGGATATTTTGAAACTGGTTTACGTTCTTGAAGGATCTGAACCTAGTAGGGCAGTGTCGTCCGCATACGCAATGTCTGTGAGGGAAAGTCCCGGGAGAAATTCGACCCGAGGTTTCACAAGCAGGCAGAAGAATTTCAAGCAGCACATCAAAGTTGAAGAGAAATAGTGAGACGTGGGGCGTTTGAAGGAGCGGCGCAATTCAAGAATATGTCTCAAGGTCAATGCACAATCGGCCAGGACAAAACCCAGCTTGACTGTCAAGAAACTGCATCTCCGGCGACCGATCAACCTACGCACAATAATGCCAGAAAGAACCTTAGATGCGGTGGATACCCGGCTGATGCACCCGGCGTTCTCGCGCCCTCTTTGAAGACTGGGATGACCGTGGAGGAGCTCCATTCGGTTGGCATTCTGTTTTCGTTCTACATCTTATGCAGTATGGACGTCAGATTGTTCGCCAGGACTTAGCTATCCTATTTGAAGAGTGCGGAGTCCGGTACCATGTCGCGTTGGAAGATTGATATCTCACCCTAGATTTGTGTTGTTGATGGCGGGCATGTGTTGATGTTCCGGCCCGCTGGGTTCTCCCAATGGTTGTGTTGGAGACCAGCTGAACTGTTCTTTGATTTACTCAGCCCATCGCTCACGAAGGCGATTGACGGGACGAATTGTCGCTGCGTCTTCTTCGCATATTGTTTCACTCACACGTAACTTCTATAGACTGCCAGAACAACCAGGAGCTCAGAAAAACGGAGCTCAGTTAATTAGCACAAATGACTTCAGAAGTCGCTCTTGGTGAACCTTTTGGGGCGTGTTTCAGAAGACACCATTATCACCAGCAGACAGTAACATCAGTGTTGACGCTGGTGCTTCACTACCGCACAACCACAAAATTTATTCAACTATATTTAAAGTTTCAAAGCGAAAGCAAAACGCGGACGACAGAGGTATCTAAAGCTAGCCTATCACAAGCATTCTGAGACATGTAAGTCCTCAAGCTTTAAACCAGGCCATCTGAAAAGAAACTGACAGCCTGAACACCGATATGCTTTGCAACGTTTCTAGTTAGTCGCATCAGGGTTACAGGGACCTTATCCTGAATGGCGGACCGCACCAACACCACCTATACCCTTTGTAATCTCTTTCACCCTTCTGCCAAGCTGAAAAGAAACAGCCTGAACACCGATATGCTTTGCAACGTTTCTAGTTAGTCGCATCAGGGTTACAGGGACCTTATCCTGAATGGCGGACCGACCCAACACCACCTATACCCTTTGTAATCTCTTTCACCCTTCTGCCAAGTCAAACGTTGTGATCTAGCAGTTAGCGCCATTCTGAAGGAGGCACGGAGAACGACAATCGCCGAGCCACTGCATCTGACGGTGTTGGACGTTTTCCGCGGCTTAGACATATGTGGTAGAAAATAAGACGCCTCGCATCGTCCATCCATAGAGGCCATATTGCGCAACCTGGCCCTTACTGCAACCTGGTAGACTTGACCATTGAGACCTCACTTAAGTCAACTATATGCAGCGGAACTGTCGATTTCCAACCAACAAACGCGCCTTAATTTAGGATGCGTGTCGAAAGTGTTTCATTGAGTGCTACCGCTTACTCATCGTTTGCCGTGATTACTGCATCAACTACGGTAATGTAACCTGCCAACCTCATTCTCCAGCTAAACACACAACTTCCAGAGCAAAGTATAACCAAGTTATTTTAATTTGTACAACCTGTTTGAATCTGCAACAAACAATATTCAAACTCTTCATAATCTCTTTACACTCTTCTGTCAACTCAAATGTTGTCCACTTGGGGTTTCCGCTATTCTGAAGGAGGCACCGAGAACAACACTCATCTCGGAAGACGGTACCTTAGCATGTGTTGCACATGACCGATCCACCCCTGTTGACGAGGTTGGATGTTTCCAGTCGTTGCAGTGCCTGCTGTACATTCAAATAACCGTTTTCTAATGAACTCGTTACTGATCCATTGACGTCATTCAAAACCATCAACCCTTCCAAGGCAGCAGTGGTCAAAAATCTGAAGACGCCTCACATCAATCATCCACAGAAGCCAGGTCTGGCAGCCACACGACAACACAGTCGTTACTGTGGCCTGGTACACGCGAACCTTAGGACCTTGTAATATGCCTTTTCGACGCCACAAGTGATGCAGACTAGCGAATGTGATCCTCGCTTCTGAGATTCTTGCACTGGCCTTATCAGACACAACTCTGTCAGAGCTAGTACAACTACCGAGGTATGTAAAACCCTCCATAACCTCCAGTGATTCTCCTTGGATTGACAGAGACCAGGAGCTGTGAAGCATGACTACGCACTTTGTAGGTGATAGATGCATGCCCAAAGGTGGTATGACGGTGGTTATTCTATTCAACAGGGCTTGTGTTTCACCTTGGTCATCAAAGATTAAGGCGATGTCGTCTGCGTACTCCGGATCCACAATGTTCCAACAGCAACAATTTGAACACTGGGGGTTCGGGGAATTATACGCAGGATATATGTTAATATCTGTCCGAGTCATGACGCAGCAGGGCCAAGACGTCTTCAGCATCAACACCGACACAGTGCGCAGTGATATGTTTCTCCTGTAAGGTTGATGACTTTATCAGCATTTTGGGACTCCCTGTAGCCCCGAGAATGTGGCGTTTTCCAATTACTTCAGAGGTTGAGCAACTGAAATTCCTGTCCACCTCCACAGGGGTGGGACACGATCGCGTACTCTCCAGTCAACCATGCCAGGCATGTACTTCCCATCACGTCCACGCACAACATAAAGCTTAGTTCTTGCACCAAAAATGTCAACTTTAAGAAGCCCAGCAGCTAAAAGCGGACTAGCTCCATAGACAGTCCCGAAAACTAAAAAGTAAAAGTAGGAATGACCAACCTCTGAGGGAAAGGACATCCGTATCCTGACGTGCCGTCATTTTTTAAAATCCCACGATCGTTTCAAGGTTAACCAGTAAGTGGACAAACGGGTTTAGGGATTCACGGATTCACGGATTCACGGATTGATACACAGGATCGAGGCTTTTGCCCAAGTTTCCCGGGTCGGTTTTGTAACGTTGTGATCTAGCAGTTAGCGCCATTCTGAAGGAGGCACGGAGAACGACAATCGCCGAGCCACTGCATCTGACGGTGTTGGACGTTTTCCGCGGCTTAGACATATGTGGTAGAAAATAAGACGCCTCGCATCGTCCATCCATAGAGGCCATATTGCGCAACCTGGCCCTTACTGCAACCTGGTAGACTTGACCATTGAGACCTCACTTAAGTCAACTATATGCAGCGGAACTGTCGATTTCCAACCAACAAACGCGCCTTAATTTAGGATGCGTGTCGAAAGTGTTTCATTGAGTGCTACCGCTTACTCATCGTTTGCCGTGATTACTGCATCAACTACGGTAATGTAACCTGCCAACCTCATTCTCCAGCTAAACACACAACTTCCAGAGCAAAGTATAACCAAGTTATTTTAATTTGTACAACCTGTTTGAATCTGCAACAAACAATATTCAAACTCTTCATAATCTCTTTACACTCTTCTGTCAACTCAAATGTTGTCCACTTGGGGTTTCCGCTATTCTGAAGGAGGCACCGAGAACAACACTCATCTCGGAAGACGGTACCTTAGCATGTGTTGCACATGACCGATCCACCCCTGTTGACGAGGTTGGATGTTTCCAGTCGTTGCAGTGCCTGCTGTACATTCAAATAACCGTTTTCTAATGAACTCGTTACTGATCCATTGACGTCATTCAAAACCATCAACCCTTCCAAGGCAGCAGTGGTCAAAAATCTGAAGACGCCTCACATCAATCATCCACAGAAGCCAGGTCTGGCAGCCACACGACAACACAGTCGTTACTGTGGCCTGGTACACGCGAACCTTAGGACCTTGTAATATGCCTTTTCGACGCCACAAGTGATGCAGACTAGCGAATGTGATCATCGCTTCTGAGATTCTTGCACTGGCCTTATCAGACACAACTCTGTCAGAGCTAGTACAACTACCGAGGTATGTAAAACCCTCCATAACCTCCAGTGATTCTCCTTGGATTGACAGAGACCAGGAGCTGTGAAGCATGACTACGCACTTTGTAGGTGATAGATGCATGCCCAAAGGTGGTATGACGGTGGTTATTCTATTCAACAGGGCTTGTGTTTCACCTTGGTCATCAAAGATTAAGGCGATGTCGTCTGCGTACTCCGGATCCACAATGTTCCAACAGCAACAATTTGAACACTGGGGGTTCGGGGAATTATACGCAGGATATATGTTAATATCTGTCCGAGTCATGACGCAGCAGGGCCAAGACGTCTTCAGCATCAACACCGACACAGTGCGCAGTGATATGTTTCTCCTGTAAGGTTGATGACTTTATCAGCATTTTGGGACTCCCTGTAGCCCCGAGAATGTGGCGTTTTCCAATTACTTCAGAGGTTGAGCAACTGAAATTCCTGTCCACCTCCACAGGGGTGGGACACGATCGCGTACTCTCCAGTCAACCATGCCAGGCATGTACTTCCCATCACGTCCACGCACAACATAAAGCTTAGTTCTTGCACCAAAAATGTCAACTTTAAGAAGCCCAGCAGCTAAAAGCGGACTACCTCCATAGACAGTCCCGAAAACTAAAAAGTAAAAGTAGGAATGACCAACCTCTGAGGGAAAGGACATCCGTATCCTGACGTGCCGTCATTTTTTAAAATCCCACGATCGTTTCAAGGTTAACCAGTAAGTGGACAAACGGGTTTAGGGATTCACGGATTCACGGATTCACGGATAAAAGTAGGATGACCAACCTCTGAGGGAAAGGACATCCGTATCCTGACGTGCCGTCATTTTTTAAAATCCCACGATCGTTTCAAGGTTAACCAGTAAGTGGACAAACAGGTTTAGGGATTCAGGGATTCACGGATTCACGGATTGATACACAGGATCGAGGCTTTTGCCCAAGTTTCCCGGGTCGGTTTTGTTCTTGTCGGTCAGTGGCTGTCGTTCACCTGAAAGGCACAAGTGAAAAAAGGGTGTAGCACTACTCTTTATGTTCGAGGGGAAAAGATTCCACGTATCAGATTCGGGACCGCTAGTTTCCCCCGGGTAACTCAGGGGACGCGTTGAGGCTCAACAGTTTAGTTGCAGTGGCCTGAAAGGTTGTCCCCTGCAAACGAATTTGCGAAGGGCGCCTGTCCATGTGGCCATATTTGTGCGAGATTGCGGTGTGCGCATTGGACAATTGAAAAACTGAGCGAAGTGGTCAACGTTTCACGATGAATGAGAAAGAGAGCATGTTAGAGTATGGTTAGGGGATAAGACTCTCTAAGGCAATAACTCAGGTCCTCATGGTTACCATGAGCAAAACCAAAAAGCAGAAACAAACGCAACACCACGACGTATGCAGGCAAATTTCTGGCAACCGATAACAAAATACTCAATTCAGGTATTTGATGTGCGAATAGCCTTCGTATCAGAACTGTTCACGCTACATGCGCGTCCAGAAAAAATAACATTAAGATACATTTTAAACAAGTCCTGGCGCCAATAAGCTTACTGCCCAGCACTAACAACTCAAAGACAGGTGCTACATCCCTTCGTCACTTGTACCATCCAGGTGAACGAGAGCCACTAGAAAAAAGAACAAACCCGACCCGAGGAGATCGGTCGAAAGCCTCGACTCACTCTATCAGTCACATGCCACAGAGCATCGAAACACTTAAAAAGGTGACTATACCAAACACCACCCGAAGTGAAACGTTGGCGTCGGACACTTATAAACGTCAAACGTCAAGTGCCTTACCGTATCAAAGATTTTACAATTAAAAAATTCCATAGTGTGACGAGTATGGGATTGGTTGAACCCGCAATTAGAAATGAGGAGACAAGTTTGCAGCAATCACTGAAATGGGTTCATTTGCACCGTAGATAGCTCGAACTGCTCATAATGATTGCGTCCTAAGAACAAGGTGATATTGGTTGGTTTTAAAACACAGTCAACGAAGGGACGGAAAAGTGTGCGGTAAAGGTCGCGTGTCAAAGTGTTTTAAACGTTTGGAGTACGTAATACGCATAATCGTAGACGGTCACAGGCCGAATCACTTCGGATGCAGCTGGACATCCGGTGATTCCCTCATCCGCAGCTGTCTCCAGAAGGAGTGAGAAAGCGCATCTGTGCTCTCGAACTGATCGCGGTGGTAATGCATACCAACTCAGGCATCTTGCCACAGAACATGTTTAGCATGTAGTTACATTAAGAATCTTTTAACCGCTGACCCGTTTTGAGAAAACAGCTCACGTGGAGAGTGTTCTTTGTATTGCGTGATCAACCTACTTAGCTAACATTTTGCTGCTACTGAGAAAGTAATCCATGAACACTGCCGCCAGAACCCGCACCAGGCCGGTTGTGGTAACTACGTCTGAATGGGCATCAAGTCACCCAATGGCTTTTGCCCAAGATGAGTAGTTGCTGAAACCAAAATCACGGGGCCATAAGGAACACAAGTTCAGTGTTAGCGACGTGTGAAAAGTATGTCAGAGGTGGGATTCGAACCCACGCCCACATTCGTGGACCAGAACACCCAGAAGGCAAAGAATCCCTTGAGTCTGGCGCCTTAGACCGCTCGGCCACCCCGATTAATAAAAAGGATCGAGGCATTCGCTTAAGATCCCCGTTCATGTCGTTCAGCGGCTGCCGTTCACCTGACGGGCACGGGCGAAAAGGGGTGTAGCATTGCTGTTTAAGTTCTCAGCGCGGAACAGTAAGCTTGCCAGCGCGATGATTCGCATAAGGGGCTCCTTGGCAGCACAATGGTCTTCGCTGCAAAATCTTTCCGAAAAGAAGTCAAAGTATTGAGCCAAAATGTTGTCTTCTGAGGCTCATATGCTCGAACACAAAACCACCCTAATATACGCTCACATTCTTGCAGCCACCAGAATTTCATTGTCCAATGAGTTAATCATGCCGCTGGTAAAATTTATTTCGGAATACATTCCTAGTATCACTGAGACACCGCGATGCCCAGAGGGTTCATCGTTGAAGCACGTTGAAGCTCCCGAATTTTCGAATCCATTGGGCGAATGCAGAAATATATATATCTAAAGCGCTTAATTGTCCTCAGAACATTGTAACCGACGCAGCATGAACAAACGTATGATGTAAGTTATTTCACCTGTTGACAAAACCTTATTCAAACAGGGCATAAGTTATTAGTAGACCATCCCGGAGGCGAAGATACTCCAGAGGAGAGGTTGAAGCGCGTTTCATAGTTCACGGATTTGAGGCCAGCAACCATTTTCGTAGTAGCCTGTTGGACACGCTCACTGGGGGTTAGGCCCCTCTCGCATCCTTGGTAGACAACTTGGTTGGCATAATGACAGAGCGGCCTGAAGTAGACCCCAGAAAGTATTTGGAATCCCATGCGAGTAATACGGGCGAAAGTGTGCCGCCATAGAACGGCGAATGATTTCGGAGCTGATTTCTCATGGTGCGGTGGAAAGGATATGTTTGAAGGGGGTCAGGTAACCAAATACTTTTAGCATCTATCCTCGTAATGTACTCTGATTCATTCTCACCATGGACGGCAAAGCCGTTTCATAGGTTCACTCCGAATGACATACGGACGCAATTTTCGTCATTCGGGGAAAGACGCCAGTCCAACGATCACTGCTTTTCAACGTCCACATCCATCAGGCTGGCACTGGCATTTGAAACCCAGGGTACCAAGTCGTACGCATGAAATAGACATGGCCTTGGAAGAACATCTTGAAGATCGTCGACGTAGATAAGTAACAGAAGTGGTCCCAAAACGTAACCCTGAGGATCCCCCATGATGACCGACGCAAAGAATTGTTATTATTATTACTCCTAGCTGGTGAACGGCATATCGTAGGCATGACCATACTGATGCAGTCAGAATAGAAGCACGACCAATGGGATTTGTGGTCTTCTAGGATTGTGCGCAAACGGAGCATTCGCGAGGTGCGTGATTCGGCGCAGTTGCTGTCATGTTTAAACGGGCACAATCAAACTGCAATAGCCATCCGTGACAAACAGACGCGTTTCTCCGGATTTTCCCGTTGTTTTAGGGACCAATAAAAAGCTGAAGCAAGATTTCACCGCTGTAGCTTGATATGTCAGGAAGCGAGGCTGTAGTGAGGGCACACGCCGGCTATTGCGCTAATATACATATATACATTAACATACATGTATATATACCAGATTCTTTGATCTGGTAACTCATTTTCCGCCATTTGCAATTTTGAAGTCAGGTGCCAGACAGGGTGCCCCTTAATTTCCCTCGTTTTGTTATTGCCCTCCACCTCCAAATTCTAGAGCCTAAATCGGGTAATGCCCACTGTTTATGACGTAGTTCTTTTTTTCCTCAAAGACCCTAATACCTATAAACCCCAGTAGTCATGCTTCCGTTCTGACTGCAACGTGATGGTCATGCCTGAAAGTATGCCGCCTACCAGTTGGGATAAACATTATTATCATCATAACCTAGCAATCTGGGGCTGACCAAGCTTGCCAACATGAAGACATTATAGTACAAGAGGCAGAAGAAACCAGGATACTTGTGTAGAATAATGATGCGATAAGATACAGCAAACATGAAAGAATTGATGGGGATGAAA